TCTCCTACAATTTGAATACAAATGCTTAAAAATATGTATTTGCTGGACATGGCGGCACAGACCTATAGTCCTTGCTACTCAGGAGGCTGAGGCAGGAGGATCACTTGAGCCCAGGAGTTCAGGCCAACTTGGGCAACACAGTGAAACCCTGCCTCAAAAAATATTTATCAATCATTTAAGCAAAGTTAAAAATCATTGTGTTATTGTTGCTGTTGCTGATGTACTGTCTTTGAAGTCACATTTTAAAATTTCACTATAAATCATATTTTTTTAAAATAGACTATTTTTAGAGCAATTTAGTTTCACATCAAAATGAACAGAAAATATAGAGGTTTTCATATTCTCACTCCACTTCCACTGATTTTAATAAATCAATAATCACTCAAAACTCAGGGTTTGCATTATCATTCACTCTTGGCGTGGTATATATGCCATAGATTTTGATAAATTTATAATGACATGTATCTGCCATTATTGTATCCTACAGAATGGTTTTCACTGCTCTAAATATCCTTTGTGGTCTGCCTCTTCATCTCTCTCACCCCTCAAACTCTGGCCACCACTGATCTTTTTGCTACTTTCATAGTTACACCTTTTCCAGAGTATCATATAGTTGGAATCATACAGTGTGTAGCCTTTTCAGATTAGATTCTTTCACCTAGTAATATGCAATTATGATTCTTCCATATCTTTTCATGGCTTGATAACTCATTCCTCTTTATCACTGAATAATATTCCATTGTTTAGATGTACCAAGTCATTCACCTACTCAAAGACTTTTTCCTTGATTCCAAGTATTGATCATTATGAATTAAGATGCTGTAAACATCTGTGTTGAGGTTTTTGCATGGACATAAATTTTCGACTCCTTTGTGTAAGTATCAGGAAGTACCACTGTTGGTAAGAGTATTATTTAGATTTGTAAGAAACCGCCAAACCAACTTCCATGGTGAATATACCATTTTGCATTTCTACCAGTAATGAAGGAGAGTCCCTGTCGCTCTGAATTCTTAGCATCATTTAATGTTGTAAGTGTTTTATTTGTCAGTTTAATAGGCATATAGTGTTATTTCATTTTTGTTTTAATTTGCATTTTCCTGATGACATATGTTGTGAAGCATCTTTTCTTTTGCTTATGCGCCATCTGCATCTCTTCTCTAGTGATGTATGCACTTGGGTATTTTGCCCATTTTTCAGTTGTGTTGTTCATTTTTCTTATTGTTGAATTTTAAGAGTTCTTTATGAATTTTGGATAATAGGGCTTAATCAGGCATATCTTTTACAAATGTTTCCTCCCAGTTTGACTTGTTTTCTCATTCTCTTGATAAGTCATATTATTAATTATTTAATCTTTCTTTAGAATACACAAACTGAATCAAATATATCTTTTAAAAAATTTGTTCTTTTTAAATATAAATGACAACAGAGTGTATTTTGACATGTTATACATACATTGACTATAACTTATTCCAATTAGAATTCCATTCTTGTGGTTATATATGATGTGGAGTTACACAGGTGGTGTATTCATATATAAACATAGGAAAGTTATGTCCAGTTCATTCCATTGTTTTTCCTATTCCCATCCTCCTCTCTTTCCTTCATTCCCCTTCTCTAATCCACTGAACTTATGTTCTTTCCCTCCTCCCTCTCTTGTTGTATGTTAACATCTGGGTATCAGAGGGAATATTAGATCTCTGGTTTTTTGGGATTGGCTTATTTCACTTAGCATGATAGTTTCCAGATCCATCAATTTACTGGTAAAAGTCATAAAATCATTCTTTTTTATGACTGAATTATATTTCATTGTGGATATATACCACATTTTCTTTTCCATTCATCTGTTGAAAGGTACCTAGATTGGTTCCATAGCTTGGCTATTGTGAATTGAGTTGCTATAAACATTGATGTGGCTGTGTCACTGTAGTATGCTCATTTTAAGTCCTTTGGATATAAACCAAAGAGTGAGATAACTGGGTCAAATGGTGGTTCCATTCCAAGTTTTCTGGGGAATCTCCATAGTGCTTTTCAGAGTGGTTGTACCAATTTGCAGTCCCATCAGCAATGTATGTACTTTACCCCCACATCTTTGCCAGCATTTATTGGTGCTTGCTTTCTTGATATTTGCCATTTTGACTGGAGTGAGATGGAATCTCGGTGTTGTTTTAATTTGCTTTCCTCTAATTGCTAGAGATATTGAACATTTTTTTTCATATATTTTTTGATCATTTATATTTCTTCTTCTGTAAAGTACTTGTTGAGTTCCTTTGTCCATTTATTAATTGCATTATTTGGGTTTATTTATTCATTTATTTTGGGGGGTTGTAGATAGATCTTTATTTTATTTATTTATATATGGTGCTGAAAAATGAACCCAGTGCCTCACACATGCCAGGCAAGTGCACTACTGCTGAGCCCCAGCCCCAGCCCCAGCCCCTGGTGTTTTTTTTTTTTAATATTTATTTTTTAGTTGTAGTTGGACACCAACCTTTATTTTATTTATTTGTTTTTACGTGGTGCTGAGGATCGAACCCAGGACCTCGCACATGCTAGGCGAGTGCTCTACCACTGAGCCACAACTCCAGCCCCCTGGTGTTTTTTGATTGACAAAATATATTCTAAAATTATAGCGTTCTTGTTTGTAAAAGGTTAATTGTCATCTTATAAATATATTAAGTCATAGCAATGTTGTACTGTTTTTAAGACAATAGCTTTTTAAATAATCAGAGACATTTAGAATTAGTCACTTATGTTTCTTTTTTAATTTATTTTTTGCATTACAATTCTTAATACATCTTTATACCACAATTTATCATATCTCTGATTGTATATAAGGTATGTTGACACCAAATTCACATCTTCATACATGTATTTTGTATAATGATGAGGGTCTCCTTTCACCATTCATTGTATTCCCCTTCTTCCTCCCTTTCCCTCCCACCCCTATTTCCTATCTAGAGGTAATCTTCCTCCCTTGCTGTCCCTCCCAACCCCACTTTGAGTCACCCCCCTTATATTAGAGAAGACATTTGGCATTTGTTTTTTTGGGGGATTGGCTAACTTCACTTAACATAATCTTCTCTAGTGCCATCCATTTCCCTGCAAATGCCATGATCTTATTCTTTTCCTTATGTTTCTTACTTTTTTCATTTATACATTGTTGAATTAATCAGTATCTTTTATGTTATGAGTATGTTGTAGACTGGGCAGGGGCAAAAGAAGGAGGTATTTTTTTTTTTTTAATGAGAAATTGAGGTAGCTTATCTCATGTGTTTCATTGTGTGTGTGTGTGTGTGTGTGTGTGTGTTTGAAATTCACATCAGTTCGCTCACTTCTCTAAGATAATTGAGTGCTGAGAGGTCAAAGTTATCGTTTTATGAGTATTCATCTAACTAGCTTTTACTAGATGTGGAATAGTTCATTATACATGGCAAAATATTTTAACTAGCACCTTCTTTAGTTTTTACTTTAAAATATTTAATTATGAAATAGCAGAGCCCTGCACTAAGAAAATCCTTATCTACTCGAGGCCAACATGGCAAAGCTTGCTAATGTTAACCAATATCCATTTCCCCTTCTTTTTATTGGCCACATGTTTCCCAGCTCCCTTACAGAGACTGAGGGCTGCTCTTTAGTGTAATTGAAGCAACAGACCTTGGTTCATGAAACAACTTGATTCATGAAAATCTTCTATATGAATCTCTACTTTATTTCCCTTCTAGATAAACATGTTACAGATATTGGCAAGTTAGCCAAGCACAGTGGCACATACCTGTAATCCCAGTTATTTGGGAGGCTGAGGCAGAAGGATCACTATTTTGAGGCCATCATGGTAACTTGGTGAGACCATGTCTCAAAAAATGAAAAGATTGGGGATGTAGCTACTGGGTTCAAACTCCAGAAGCCCTCCTCCTCCAAAAAAAAAAAAAAAAAAGAGTTTGGCATGTTTACAGGGATGGACTCTGTCATCATCTTTTGGAACAAAGCTGCCTGCTTTTCTGAACTAAACTGATTAGAGCAAGAAATAAGCTTTTATTGTGATATTTGCTAAAAGTTGAGATTGATTATTAATAAGAGTTGGCTTATTCTGACTAATAAAAAGTTGCAAAAGTCAAGTAACATTGGAGATAACAGAGATGAAGTGTACACACAGAGTAAAAATGAAAACATGCACTTCCTTAAACTCAATGACCAGTGTTATAACATGTTTTTGAATAACAGAGCTGACAACCTTCTCAATTATTTAGGTAAAAATAAGAATCCTGTAGAAGACAACATGAGGATTCACATCTGATTAAAGAAAGCAAAGGGTCTTACATGCTGGAGTGTCTTTTTGGCAAAGATTGTAAAATTTCTTTCTCATGAAGATACAGATTAACGTGCAATGATTGAAGTGTACAAAGCAACCACTGCCAATCAACTTGAATAAAATTATATTCAAAATTTAATGGAAATGATGTCAATAATGAGTATAGCCTTTAGTACCCAGGCCATACAGAGCCCACACATGTAGCTGATGGCACTTGGATTTGCTCTTGTATAAGTGAAGTTTGCATTTTGTTTCTTCTCACCTCCGTGATTGGTATTTGCAAGAGGACTGATCATGTGAAGATGTTTGGTTTGTTAAGGAGAAATAGTGATCCAGTGTGGAACATTCCCAGACAATGGTGGCCATGTTGGAATATGCCACCCTTTCCCGTTCCACCCACTCAGTGACTGGCACCTGCTGTCTGTGATCAAGTGTTCTCTTGGTTGGAAGAAGAGGCATAAGTCAACAGTAAACAGAAACTACTTGAACATTTTCACAGATTGACTGCTGAGTTACTAACAGTACAGCTGTAGGGTCCTCATAGCAGGTGTCAGTATTTAATGAACACCTCCCTGTTATCTGTGCTAAGTGATTAAGGAGTGTGGTGCTGGGATCAGCTGATCAGCTGACTGAGGTGTAAATCCTGGCTCTGACACCTATGGGCAATGCAAACTGGGGCAATGTCACTTACCTGGGCCTCAGTTCTGAGGACATCATGAAGATTCCAAGAGATAGTGCTTGAAAAGCAGTTAGCCCACGGCCTATTCAATAAATAGTAAACATTATCACAGGGTTTTAATAATATTATTAACCACATAATAATACTCAGTATTATTGTCACATAATTGTAACACTGTGTAGTAATTATTTTGACTGGTAACTTGTTCCATTTTCATTTAGTCAATAGTCATGGGAAACTACTTAACTGCTTTTGCATTCACAGTATGACAGAGCCAGTTCCATTCAGTTCATTATTCACTGGACTGGGACCCTGTTTTAGGCAGGAGCCTTAGGGACAATTAATGAACATATCATGCACTACTGGAACAAAGGTCTGAATTTCCTATTCATGGAATTATAGAAAGTGGGTCATGCTGATCTAATGAGAATCCTTATTGTGGGTGTGGAATATTAACTGTTCTCTAGTAAGAGGAAACACACATGGTGGCATGAAGAGAAGTTAAAAAAAATCAGGCAGATGTGCAGATTATTTAAAACTTTTTATCATAGATCTAAAAAATGTTTAATACAAATTAATATATTGCTTTAATCATGGTCTGAAAAAGTTCATTATGTACATAATTATGCTTTTTAGAATACCTAGACTTGGCTACAGAATTGCACTACCATCTGAAATGAACCACTTTTCAAAGATTCATTTTTTAACAGTTTTACTGGTGATTAAAATTACAACACTTTATGCAATATGCATCCTTTCATATTTAGATTTTTACATCAGAGGTTTTCTAATTGTAACTGCAATTTATATAAACATTTAAGGGCAGTAGTGTAATTTTGGAAACAAGACATCTCTTCATCAGGAAGCAGTGCACTTATGCCAGAATCTAAATAATGTAAAAAAAGAAGCTTTGCCAATCATTTTTCTGGTAATTATACTTAATATCCTCAGATTACTGTTGAACATATTCATTTGGCAAATATTTAATGCATTCTTTGCTTGTACCAATTATGGTGCTAGCTTCAGGAAGACAATGATATACAATCCCAAACCTTTGAAGAAGGCATCGTAGGGAAGATTGGCAAAGAAACTAATAATTATATTACAAAAGGTACTAAAATCAAGATCTAGACAAAAGGTGAGAGAGAATTTAAAAACGCTTCATAAAACCTTGCATTTGTCTTGTATGACGATGTACTTATAACAAATTATATATTAATTCATATTATATTAAAATAATACATTATATATTCACAGTAATAGACATACATATTTTTCTGCCAAAACAAGCCTAGATTTACATTTAATATTTATAATCTTTAACCCAATCTCAGATATGACATGTATTAGAAACTTAATGTAATGTTAATGGAACATACTACTTCTCTGTGAACAGACTGAAGAATTAATGTGTGTTTGTGAAAAAAATCTGGGAATATATTTAGCTAAAAATCACCTTATTTTGAGTATTTATATAAAAAATGATTGGGGCCCAAGCTAGGAATAATTTTGCCAAATTTTTATAGCCAGTGAGTCTGCTCTAGATCCCAGGTTTCCTTGTTCTTAATCTGTATTGTGTCCTTTAACTGTTAGAAACCAATTGCATCTGTAAAGAGACAGAATAATAAGCTCAAAGAAGTATGTAATTTGTCAGCTTGTTTCATACCTACCTGAAATGAGGTTATGACTTCATATAAGAATATAGCACAATTTTAAAAAACCATTTAAAATAAGTACAATGAATTTTACTATTAGTTGCAAGTTTTTAGTTAATTTTGCAGATGTAAAATTGCTGACACAGTGCTGGAGAATGCAGTAAATTTTTAGTGCACACTAAAGTAGTTGTGATATAATGGTCAAATGCCCAACATGTCACTAGAGGAATGTAACAAATGCCTGTGAACATTAGGGAAAATTTTAAATATATTAAAAATAAGAGCTAATTGAGACCAAGTCAAGTCAAGATATGTTGTAATTATTAATTTATGTAATAACCACTAACTAGATACATGTTTGCTCTCCACAAAGAATGATGACAGACTTTGCCCTGCTAAGCAAGTTTGGATTCATTGCTACTAGTTTAAATTGGTACTATGGGAATGTTCCTCAGCCATATTGTGATATTACACAATGCAACTAATATCTATGTAGGTAGTCTCCCAGTTATTGTTGGATTGTGTTCCACAAATTTGTTGATCATCTGTTTGGCGTTCAGAGGAAACAATGTCAGACATTGAGATTAAAACTCTGGTCTTCCAACTGGGCCTGTGCAACCTAACCATCAAGTAGAATCAACAGATTTTTTCAAGAAAAAGCTGTCAGTGTTCTAAGTTGCAGTGTTAGTTCCATTGCTGGCGCCCCTACCATGATGGGAGTAGTATTAGGGAAATTTACTACTGATGGAGTAGTATATATATATATATATATATATATATATATATATATATATATATATCTCCATTGCTGGCAGCTCTGACTGCCTGAAGTCTACCAAGTAGGACTAGGGATGGCAAGGTTGGGAGGAAACAGGCCAAGGGGAGATAGACTCCCTGCTGGGATCTCCCATCACATGGTAAGTTCTTTGAAGGCTGATACAGTGTCGAATTTGTCTTCAGACTGATGTTTGAGGGCTTGGAGTTTGGCAAAAACAGTTTTTAAATGGCTGCTGTAAATGGCACAGTAGCAGCTAATGTCATTAATATATAATTCATCCTACAAGTAAATTGATAGCTTGGACTCTATCCATGAACTAAAACAAATTTATGTGCTACGTTTGAAAAAGCTTCAGATCTTAGGAATAAAGTCGACATTCCAAAACATAATGAATAGTTGGAAAGCACGAACCACTATCATCATGTCTGTTGACCAACACTTGTTATGGCCCTCTCAGTACTGACTCTCTGTACTCTCTATCCAAGTAGTTTTGAATTTTCTGCACAACTTCTAGGTATTTTATTTTCTAAGTGTCTTCAGTTCATGGAAAATTTATTTTAGATCAGTAAATATTTATTGTATACGTCCTTGGTATATGATGCAGTCTAGGGGCCATGTTCAGCCAGTGAGATTCAAAATTATTGTTTTAGGTAAAAGAATATTTGGTGGCAAGTAACAGAAAAAAATTAATGGTTGTTTAAATGAATGGTTTATTTATTTCCCCTACATAATCAGAAGTGAGGAAGCAGAGAGTAGAGATTCGGCACAGTAGCCATGTTTAGCAGGTTGAAAATGTCATTCATGTAATTCTTCAAATAATTTTATCCCTTTCCCATCTATTGATCCTATTTTTATTTAAAATTTTCATTTTTTCTAAAATGTATTTTTTATGTAAATTTTCATTTTAAAATATTGCATTGCAAATTCATCTTGATTACTATTTATTTATTTGGTGTCTGCTTAGATTTTATGCCTGAGGCAAAGATCTTACTCCCTTCACCCTATTCTTGGCCCTTTTATTTCCAGTGATTAAAACAATCCTATTAAACACATATACAGTTGTCATTTTCTGAATCTGTCCCTTGAATTAGAATTCAAGGCTCTGATGCTTCAGAATGAGGGAGGAGTGTTAGAAATAAAAATGAATTGATTAGAGTTTGTGTTTTCAAACACTGGAAATGAAGAGTATCTGTTATGTCCTAGAAGACCTGGTAGCAGCAGGGAGGAGGAGACACTTAGTAAAAGCATGGCTGTCGGTTCCTGCTTCACGCTTTGGAATCTGTGAGCCAATGAGCATAAATCATAATCATAAATTCTATTAGCTTATGTTTCTTCACCCCTAAAATGAAGATAATAAAATCTACCTTACTATTCCTCAGAGCTAATACAAAGAATGAACAAGAACAGGAGTGTGAAAAGGCTCTTTTTGATCATGAAGGTATGAAAGAATTTGTAAACTGTAAGGCACACATTGAGGAACTCACCTGGAGACAGAAAAGAAGGGAATCCTAAAGAATCAGTGTCATAGATCCACAATCCCTAAAGATCCACAATCTGGGCCAGTCCTCTCATCCTGGTGAGAGTGAGGACAGGGAGCCTGCCCCTCTCACCTAAGCTCAGACAAGGGATGGCAGAAATGGGGTTGGACATAGGCTTTAGGGGCTTGGGCTGAGACCAGGTTACTCCTCACTTGAATTGGGATCTCTAGAACATCACACTTAGGGTAGAATCAGGACAGGTTCTTCTAGAAGAAAGAGGAAAATAATTCATGTCTTTTGTGAGAGAGGAAAATAATAAGTGCTCAGGGAGAGGAAGAGAAAATTCGGGTGATCTTTGTCTAAGGTGTGGATAGTTTGGATTGAGAGTAGCAAAACTGGCATTTCTGGGCTCCCAAGGTGAGGTGTGGCTACCTCTCACGAGTCAACGACCAGGTTTTTCAATTCTAGTTGGTTTTGCCTGTGGTATATAGATAGTAGCTTAACAAAGAAACAAAGATGAAAACAGGAAAACTATGATGTAAGAATTAGTCACTGATGTTTACAAATAAGTATCTTTGGGAAAAATATTCACATTAAAGTGATATGGCTACTATAGAATAACAACTTACTTTAGAACCTAAATAAAAGCATCTGTCCACCTCCTTTTAAATAAAATAGCTTCTCTTGTTTTTTCCATTCTTATGAAATGAAAATTTTGCTCTGCTCCACCCGATTTCTCATTTCTATGTCTGACTCATTGACCTAATTATTAGCTTTTATATTGTACAACTTATGATCTAATAGCATAATAGGAAGTTTGTTGACATTAGTCTTACATGAGAAATAAAAGTTGAATGCTGAGAAGAAGAGAACAAAAATTTGGTTCCATAGGCATATCTCATAGCACACAAAGAAATGGTATAAAAAATAAACAACATTCACATCTATATTGTGAGCAATGACTTTTAATTTGTTTTTCTTTTTGTTAATGAGGATTGAACTCAGGGGCACTCAACCACTGAGCCACATCCCCAGCCCTATTTTGTATTTTATTTAGAGACAGGTCTCACTGAGTTGCTTAGCATCTTGCTGTTGCTGAGACTGGCTTTGAACTCGCTATCTTCCTGCCTAACCTCCCCGAGCCACTGGGATTACAGGCGTGCACCACCACACTCAGCCATGAGCAATGATTTTTAAG